CATATTCCTTAGCATGGAGAGGCAGGGGCTTGTTAAAAATCAACATAGGGGACTTCCTGCCTCTTCTATTTCCCCTGGATTTTTTTTACACAGGCTCAGTCTGGCTAAAAGAGAATATTATCACCAAACAATATCCCAACAGTAACTGCAGAAAAAGACCAAACTAATGAGTGTATACCTCAGCAATAGCTCACCAATGACCAGCCATCTCCCTATTGCTCGTGTGTCTTGCAGTTTGGTCTTCTTTCCAATTGTCCATGGAGACCAAATGATGAGGGGGTAGAAGAGGTAAACAGAGGCATCTGTTCATGCCCATTTCTAACCAACACAATCTCCTACTCAGTCACGGGGAGAGTGTGGATTCTGACAGTGAGTCAGAGCCAAAGGGAGGCGGTGTGAGAGGTGGCTTTGGTTTGGTCTATGGAAGGAGGCAGCTGTGACTCAAACACTGCACACTGATGAGCTGGAGCAATTTCTCTATTTCCCTCCTAATTAAAGGGGGGTTTTCTCCCCAACCAGTCTGCTGTGGGCTGTGTGTTGTACACTGTGGCTCCAGTAAGCTAAATGCTCTACTACAAGGAGGTGAAAAGTGGGATCCCCCTCAGAAAGAGCAAAGCTACAGAGTGCTTAAACTCAATTTTCTTCCCACTCCTTTGTCTCTTTCTCTTCTCCAGCACTGTTCAGTTGTGGAAGATACAGCAGCCCTAATTTAGAAACTGAAAACAAATGACCAACCTCAATCATAAGATGCGATAAAGTACGCATTATACGCAGTGTCATGGTGAAGCTTCTATATATCTGTGAGATACAGAAGTACTGAAGGCAAAATTTTGTCCTACGTGTACTAGTCAATAAATGAGAACTCCACACAAGAATACAATGTGCACATAACTAATTTACATTTCTAGGGTAATAGTTCATTGGATAACACAGCTTTCATTTGGTTGGGGTGGCAATGGATAAATTTGCTACAAATCTACTCTTGTAAGCAGTGTACAGCAGGAGAATATAATCAATGTACTGTGTAAAAAGAATTCATACATACACACTGGTGCCTCTTAAGAATTTGGCTATCATCTCTGAAAGCTCTATTTTTGTTATGGTCCACTAGGCTCTAATTACAAATATTTCCTAGAATGGTTCTAAAAATCACTCTTTATTTTGGTCTTATTAGTGAGAGATGATTTACAAATGTATCTGAACAAACTGGCAGAAACCATTTGTTCCTGCTTCTAAGCTGACAACAATATTATTAAAATAAATGTATTACAAAACTGTAGTTCACTACACAATTACTATAAATAGAGCTTTTACCAGGATAGTAGTGGACTGATATGCTTTCATTTTAAAATTAGCTAGATAGCCTGGCATAAGCAGGAAAAGTCACTCAGCACACAAAACAATTAATCTTCTTTGTGTGGTATAGATGAAGTTTTCCTTAATATTTATCTGGTCTGTGATAGATGGCTCTGATAGAAAAGCTGCCAGAATGAATCTCCACCATGACAGTACTCAACAGACAGAAGGAAAATGAAAGAAAGTATGATATTATTCACACTAATATTCAAACAGTACAAGTATTTATGCAATGCATTCCTTATTCTGCTCTGCTGAAATCAAAGTGAGTTTTGCTTTTGGCTCCAACAGCACTTTTTCCCTTGAAGCACTCAGCACCATGAGAGATATAGTCCTTTCAGTTCTGCATGGAAAATTCAGTATCAGCTATTTATGCAACAGACACAGTATGAACGCCATGAATAATGAAATATTTTATGCTGAATCAGTCATAACTTCTCTGAAAGCTTCTTGCTGCTTTCTGCTGGTCATTATGTGGAGAGATTCCAACTCTTTCATTCCACTCTGTCACTACACTCTTGCCAACAGCAATTGTTTCAATAACTGTCCTAAGTCCCTCCCAACACTCAACCTGTTCAGTGACAACAGCCTGTGCCTCTAGCAGGTCAGGGCAAGTGAGGGGAGTTCAGCTCTTTGGGCAGCATTTGCTGGATGCTGACAACCAACCCATAGGTAGGTAAGTTGATACCACAGTTGGATCTAATTCACAATCCACCTGTATAACTATGATCCTGCGTCATATGATTAATTACCTTATGCTTTCTGTACCAACAACATTTGTCCATTCTTTTAATTGCAAAAATTATTTTAAAGCTGCTTTCAGTCTTCAGAGGGCAGATAAGCTTTCTAGAAAGATTTCTGAAATCCTTTGAACAGGCTAGAAACATAACATGAGGCTTTCACTCCACAGAAGAATTTGCTCCCAGTACATCAAAATACAGCATTCATAGTTAAGAAAGTAAAGAGTGATAGAAGATAGTGGCATTTTGCCACCAGCAGGGCAATTATCAAATATGATGCATTTCAGTTGAATGCACATTTTACATCCGGTTGTTACAGCCTCTCTTTAATGCTTCCAGAGCTATACTTTCTGAATACATACTGTAAAAGGCAGGCAGTACTTTTTCTCCTCTTTTGTATATATGAACACGTTTCGTTTGGCTTTCTGGGTTCTGTGTTACAGATTATATTTAGCATATGGAAAGCTTCTAAATATGTATTACATAATATTGAACATGAGCATTAAAACATGACTTCCTCTTCCTTGCATTTGTATGTGTGTGCATGTGTGTTTCTCTTGCACCACACTGCAGCTAGATCTTTTGTAACTTAAAGCTAAACCTAATAACATCATTCACTGCAGCAGCGAGACACTTTCCCCTAGAGTAGGATACAATGATGATGACATAACGCTGTGGTTTCCAAATCCCAAACCAGCTGTTACTGGTATATGCATTCAAATCCACTGCCTCTGCATCCATGTGAGAGGCACAAAAGCTCGTGACTTGATTCAGTAAATGATTTATTATTTTGAATGTGTAATTCAGGGACATAGCTTACGCATGGCTTCAGCCATGGAGTGGGGAAAAGTAATTTAGGCAGTTTCCTACTGCAATAAACCAGAGAAAGGATATAATCCATCTGCACAGACCCAGTAGGTATTTTCCACCAACTAGCATGGGATCTGCTTACTGATTTTAGACTGAGGGAACAACTAAAAGCTGCCAATTTTTTTAATTGTTTCTTCTCTCTGACAGACATTCATGCTAACTCCTTTATCTACTATAAATAAACAGAGCTGACCATCAATCCGCTAACCCAAACTGCACCAAGAAACACAGTACCTATTCAAGTATTACTGGGTATATTGTGTTGTAACTTTCAGTTGAATAAGAGTGGCAATAAAACTGCTGCCATGCTTATGGATACTGAAAGAAGCTAAGATTCTCCTGTGCTTGCTTGTTCTTGAATATTTGAGAATATTAGCTCAATAAATGAAGGTCAGCTTTAAAGCCATTTCTCAACAGCAAGTCTAAAAAAAGAATACCACGGAAGCAACTTGAGACCTATGAGAAAGCTTTTTTCCACTAGAGTAAGTTACTTTGACGGAGTACAAAATCCATCTCTGCATAAATCACTCATTTGCAAAGCAGGGTCTGGATATATCAGTTGATAGTCTTACTTTAAATCCAGACTAAATCAGACCTCTGAAACTCTTAACCTAATCCCTGCCCTCTGTACTATGTCATCATGGCAATTTGTTTCCAGGGTTACAGTATTTATTTACTCAAAGTAAAGCCAATGTGAACAACTGCTCTGAATTTTAGCAGGAAAAATGCATCCCTAGTGTAATTCCATTATCTGAGTGGTCTTGCGTCAGGGATGAATTTAGCCTATTAAGTTTTGGCACAACTCTATCAGTGAGGGCAATATCTGCTCAAGCCATATTATCTTCATTTGTAGAATGACACTGAAAACACTGTGCTTGTAATCAACTATTTCTTTAAATGTACAGGCAGCCAGAGAAATAAAGAGCTGAACTGTTGTCCGAATATTCCAAAATTCAAGGACTTCTCACAGAAAATAAAAGGTTAATCTTGGTCAGTGATATAATGAATTCTTTAGAGAGGAGGTGCAATCATGCACTGAATGTGAATCATGATCCACTGGATTTTTTGTAGAAAAGTAATTGATAATCAATCCATAAGTTACAGTTGCATCAATCAATCATGTATCTGCAATGGCCCATATCAAACCAGCCAGCAGAAGTCATGAAAGATCATTGCCAGTCCTATCTCTCTGACAGGCTGATTTATTAAGCTGAGAAATTGTCCTGATGTAAACAACTTTTCAAGCTATACCCAGACCAGAAACACTTCAGAAAAAAGGAAAGGGTTGTGCAGCAGAGCTTATGCAGATCAGCCCTTCTTCTGTAGCTCTGCTTGTTTAATGAGAAAGGCTATCACCAGTTAATATAAAAGAGTTTGTAAAAGCCAGGAGAGGTGTGTGAGAAAACAAAACAAAAAGCCCAAACCAGGCTGTTCCAAAATCTCTCTTTGGGAAATTATAACAATTTTACAAAATCTGCATAGCCATGGACTCTAAAATGGATCCAGGAAAGAGTTCAAAAACTACCCCTGTGCCAAGATGTAACACTTTCCATAGATGGAAGGAGTTTTACTTGGTAGAAGACCATAGCATTAGGTCCCATCTACTCTATCTACTTAGAGGTAAACTAAATTAAATTAATTAATTTAAATAATTAAAGGTGCTGAAGTGCTTGGTTCTTTTTAGAAAATGCAGGTATCTGATCCACCTCAATATAACTGAGCAAAACACTAATCTTCCCCAGACATAAAGCCATTGAAATCAAGTGTGCTTCACAGGTGTGAAAGTGGAATAATCCTCTAAATACATATCTGATAAATAGCCTTTCCTTCACTACATGGAAATATTAAAGCAGTATGGAATTCAACATTGCTATTATGAATGATTAATCATTTAGAAGTAGAGCTTCAACATTTTGAATGAACAAGTCTGAAACTGGACTTGGAAGAGCAAGGAAGATGAGAATGTAATTATCACTGTTGGTAGACTAAGAACATAGCATTAATAACACTGTTGCATAAAGTATGTACTCTCACCCAGATAGGAAACTCCTTCTTCTGGTGTGATTGTTCCATATTTAACCATCATCTTCACGAAATCAATCAGGGTTTTCATGATAGTTATCAAGGTCTCTTTCTCTTTTGCCTCCGTCTCTGTATGAGGGGGTAAAGCAAAACTAGTCAAAGACTTCAGGCAACTCAAAAAAACTCAGTTCTGCAAACTCTGCACAAACTTGCATAAAAATTTACATGCATAAAAAATTACCTGCTCAACTAAAAAGAAAATGCTGTGCTGGATTAGCAAAGAGAACTGTATATGTTTCCCTCTAAACTGCTCCTGCAAAGTACAGCTGAATATACTTTAAAACTTCAGGGTTTGGTTTTTCTTTATAGCCTTTTGTCTTCAAGGTCCATATTATGGAAGGTAAATTATATTAATTCCATTTCACAGGTAAGAACACTAAACACACTGAGATGAAGTGACTCGACACACTTCAAATTGCTGGTCAGAGGGCAGATATAGGCAGAGTTTTCTACAGTCTCTGTCTTTTTGTTTTATTTGTCTGTGAACAGTAGTAGACAAGTCTGGCTCTGTATGAGGAAGACAGCTCAGAGATCCTTTCTCCTACAATATCCATGGGTTCAATGACAAAAATATAAAGTGTCTCAAATGAGATTGTTACTGTGCACAAGACCATGACTCGGGTGCTGGGAAAACATAGTATCGTGGTTGGGAGGATCATGACTCCAGAATAGAATAAAATTATAAAAATCCATCTTTCTTGCCCATACATACCTCTGACTATCTTCATGATCACTGCTTCTTAGCTTTCTTTTTCCACTGTATTTATCTGCTGAACAATATTACTGGTATTTCTACATTAGCAGCATGAAACTTCCCCACCACAGTTACACAAGCTCTTCCCACACCCCAGGTTGTCTCTGAAGGACCCAACAGAGCCCAGGCCAGTGGCAGAAGGCCAGCCCCTTTGGAGAGCTGCTGAACAAGTTTTTTATTGCTGCCTGCAATTTAACACACATCTGTAGGAGGCAATTGAATCCCCTCTCTTCCAGCTTGATACAAGCTGGCAGGTGAACAGCATAAAGCAGGAGACAAGGCAGAGATGTGCAGCCAGCAGAACATGGTTCTATTTGCTTGATAACCTGTTAAACCAAACATGCCTTTCTGCTTTGTGAGTAGAAAAAGGAGAAGAACTAGCATGCAAAACTATGATGGGAAAATGAAAAGAACAGGAAGAAGAATATGAAGTTTATAGATTGGACTTGAGCAAAATATGCCCTCAGGTTTTTCATTCTAGCTCTCCACTCAGGGACAGTTTGAAGCAAGATTAAGGCTCCTGCAGGATAAGGAATCTACAGAATAAATTGTTGCTGACTGCGCTGGAGAGAGCATAAGATATGCTGGCTGCAGAGAGTGAGAGTGGGCGTGTGGTAGAGAGTACTGACAAAGGGGCTGTGGCGAGGTGCCACAATCTTCCCTGCAATAACTGGAAGGCAATGATGTCTAGCACCGGAATAAGAAGAGACATGCAGAGCTTTCATTGCAATAAACAGCAAACCTGTGGTTTGTGAAAAGGCTGGGAGGCTCAGACTCATTTACTGGTACCATCACTGTGAGGATTCTACTGTGGCTTACTCGTATCTCTGTTGGCTTAGAAGACATGGATGTTACTGGAAAGATCTCTGGAGAAAACAACTTGCCAGTTTTTCATCATGCCCTTACGGGAATGAAAAGAATTCAGGACTCTTGAATTATACAGCACAAGATGGGAAGGGCTTCCTAGGTCACACAGTCTGCAGTTCTGAGTGCTGTTCCTCCCAGTGTTTTGCCATATTCACTAATCAAATTAGCTTCTGCTATGCATCTTAGAGAACATTTTTAAAGCACATGGTCTCGTGAAACTAGGGAAGCTCTGGGGAAGGGAAAAGAGTAGGAGAAAATGGAGAGAATCTTAATTTTCTAATTTTTTTCAAAAATATTCCTGTAAACACATGATGAGCTCACCTGAGTTAAGACTTTTTAACAGTGCGTAAAAGTTTGGAAAATACTGGAGGTCTTCAAAGTTATCTTCAGAAGGCAGCTCATTTCTTCTTTCCAAGATATTAGATGATGACCATGTGTTATCCAGTGTATCATCAGTTTCTTCATTAATGAAACTATTCTGATCAGCTTTGCTTGGTGTCTCCACAAAAGACATAAGAAAATAATATCTATAAGCACATTGCTTTTGGTGATAGAGTTAATAGAGCAACAAATAGCATCATAATCTTATGCCAACATTTTCCTAATTATGAGGTGAAGACTATACTATTTTCTCAAAGTTTTTTCAATTTGGCATCTGGCTTAAACCTCAAAGTAACTTATGATTTGGTTTTTTTATCTGACGGAGTATCTTTAAGAACACCTTTAGTTTCCAGATTGAACTAATTATTCCCTACAGCAAAGCAGTATATTGGTCTACTTGTACCATTTGGCAAGTGGGTCAAAATGATTAGCTAAGAAATTACCATTCTTTCCTGTTGCTTTTCTTTTGTATCACTGTCTGCTCTGCTTGGAGGGTAATCAAAATCTTCAGACTCCTTTTCACGATCCTTTGCTTCATTTGCAATTAGCTGTTGTAAAACCTCTGCCACTTCATCTTCCAGGGTATAGGCCTGACTCTCTGTGATCTGTTAAAATATTTGTGCAGAGTATTTATAGAATATTGTGTTTTTCCTAGATTAAACATCAGTATGAAACCTGAGCTTTGTAAATAGGCGCTTCAAATATGTTTGCTTCAAAGCTGAGCACAGCCAAATTAGATATAACACCTTCACTGATGTGTGTGTGTATACATATACACATATAGTAAAAATCCCACCCACCTGCACATATAGCCTCCAATAGGGAAACAAACCCATATAAGGCTTAACACAACGGAGTCCAGCTTGAAAGATGGAGCTGCAAGTGTGATACACCTATATGTGTAAATGTGTGTGTGCGTATGTATACATATTTATGTTCTGCAACATACTTTTGTACAATTGAGTAAGTACAACAGAATACAATAATACAGTAATTTCAGCCTGACCTCAGTACCGGGGAAGGTTATGGAGAGGTTCATCGTGAGTGTGCTCACCAGGCACATGGAGGACAATCAGGGGATCAGGTCCAGCCAACATGGGTTCATGAAAGGCAGGTCTTGCCTAACCAACCTGATTTCCTTCTACGACCAGGTGACCCGCCTGGTAGATGAGGGAAAGGCTGTGGATGCTGTATACCTGGACTTCAGCAAAGCCTTCGACACAGTCTCCCATAGCATTCTCCTGGAGAAGCTGGCAATTCATGGCCTAGATGGGTGTACCCTTCGCTGGGTTAAAAACTGGCTGGGTGGCCGAGCCCAGAGAGTCGTGGTGAATGGAGCTAAATCCAGTTGGCGGCCGGTCACAAGCGGTGTCCCCCAGGGCTCAGTCCTAGGGCCAGTCTTGTTTAATATCTTTATCAATGACCTGGATGAGGGGATTGAGTGTGCCCTCAGCAAATTTGCAGACGACACCAAACTGGGTGGTAGTGTTGATCTGCTTGAGGGGAGGAGGGCTCT